ATAAAAAAAATCAGTTTAATTATTTGAAATATTTGAATAGTCTATCTTCCTTTAAGGATGACCCTGAGCATAGTATCTTCTTAATATAGATCAGTAATAAAGTGTAAAAACCTATTGTCCTATGCACTCATGAATTTTTTTGTTGTTGTTGCTATTAGAGACAGGGTTTCTCTGTAGCTTTTTGGAGCCTGTCCTGGCACTAGCTCTTGTAGACCAGGCTGGACTCGAACTCACAGAGATCTGCCTGCCTCTGCCTCCCGAGTGCTGGGATTAAAGACGTGCGCCACCACCGCCCGGCTCTGCACTCATGAATTTAACTTGCTTATTTAGTATTTATTTAACATAGAATGTGTCTCAAGAACTGGAGACATCAGAACATAAGCAAAAGCAAAATCCAGACCCATAAGGAATCTTATACAGTGAGTTTGCTTTCATTTTATGAATGTGAAAACCTAGGCTTAGGAAAATTTATTGAATATACAAGGGCACTCAGCTAATAGAAAATTTGAATGAAACATGAGATATTAGCCATTTGTGCTCGTTAGTCTTATGTCAGCTTGGCACACAAGCTGAAGTTATCTGGGAGGAAAGAACCTCAGAAGAAAAAATGTCTCCATAAGATTCAGCTGTAAGGCATTTTCATAATTAATGATTGGTTGGGGAGGGCCCCGTCAGCCCATTTGAGGTAGGGCTACCCCTGGGCTACAGGTTAGGCAAGCCACAGGGAGCAGGCCAGTAAGCAGCACACCTCCATGGCCGCTGCATCAGTTCCTGCCCCCAGGTTCCTGCCCTATTTGGGTTCCTGTCCTGACTTCCTTCCATGATAAACAGCAAGTCAAATAACTTTTAGTTTCCCCATTTCCTATTGTGAAGTTTCTGAAAAATATTTAAAGTAAAAAGCAAAATACTGTTTTGTTCTCAGGAACTGGTGAGAAAAGAAAGAAAGGGATAATCAGGGCCACTACTAAATTAGTGTGAAGAAGGCAGAAAGAAGATGATTGTTGGAGGAGAGAGTGGGGGTGGGGGAGGGAAGAGTAGTAGGAGTGAATATGAATCAAAGTACAGAGATTGTGTGTGTGTGTGTGTGTGTGTGTGTGTGTGAATATGTTGAGATAAAACCCACTATTTTGTACACTAACTAAAACATTCTTGTTAAGTGGGAATTGAGAAGGGATTTGAACCAGTTTGCTCAGTTGCTCTGTGCCCCCCAAGCACTCACTTTAAATAAAAAGCAAGCTTTATAGCACCGCTCTACAGCCTTTTGTGATTTGACTCAGATGAGGGTTTCTCAACAGTGGCACAGTTAGCATTTTGAACTAGAAAACTCCTTGTGGTGGGTGGTGGGGGCTACGCTGTGCACATAGCATGATTACTGAACCGCACTAGATGGCAACAACCAAATATGCCCCCAAATGCTGATGAATGCACTTTCAGCACAAAGGCAACCTATGCAGAGAGCCACTGGTTGAGCGACATCTAGGAAACTCTTAAAACCGGCTGCAAAATAACCTCTCCAACCTGCAAAGCCCTAAATAAAACCCAGTTCCCGGACACAAAGTGCTCACTTTATTGTTTAAAAGGCAGAGCTTTGCTGCACAAAACTAAGTGGGCATTTGCCCGGTTTCATAAACTTTCAATGCAATCCTGACTACCTAACCTGCTTTGGTCTGTCCCTAGTAAACAGAACTGTCAACAGTCTTCAAATTCCATTAGTGCCTTAGCAACTTGAATATCAGATGAAGTGCTTATGCCCTCTTGTGGCGGGAACCAGTAACACAAATTGAAACAAAACATGAAATCCTTTGCCACATATAAAATGTCTAGTTTTCCATAGAAGGGAATGAAAATAGATCCTGCAGGAGACATTAAAAAAATGGATAAAATAATTTTAATGAGTTGGCTACTGAATACCTTAAAGCTAGTAGGTTACAGATGGGAACAAAAACAAAAAAAAGAAGCTCTAAGAAAAGAAAAGATGTTGAAAATCGAATATTGAATTAAAACAACAATAAAGCATCCAAGTAGGACATCTGTATCATATGCCTACCTCCCCAAGAGGGAGCGTCAATCAACTAAGAGCAGATTGAAAGAATATAAGAGCCAGAGGGGTGAGATTGCTGCAAAGTAATGTTTTCAGGAAATGACATTTGTACTTTTAAACTCACAGCAACTATGGCTTCCTTCACAAATCTACCTAAGATTAATCCAGTCAACACACAGCATAAAAGGAGTGGGACCCAGGGTCTCCCACCTCCAGCTGAGGCGCTACCCAGAGTTGATGGTCCATAGCGGAGGAAGTCAGTTTTCTGATCCTTTGTGTCCCATAGTGGATTGCCCATGATCCATGAGACTGCACCCTACAACAATGAGACTCGATGGGTTATTTTAAAAAGAGAAGGAATTAGAAGCACCTAGAGAAGGGAGTTCTGATATGGCTTAAATACATTGTATATTCACATATGCAACTACCAAGAAACAAACTAAATAAATAAACCTGTAGTGGTCCATTCTAGCATTAAGATTACAAATAAGTCACTGAACTGAGCTTTGGGCTCCCAGACACAAACCAAAATAAAATAAAGTCCAGACTAGAAGGCCATTTGGTCAATATCTAACCCAAACCTTCCTTGAAAGAAGACATAACACAGTTCTAGAAAGATTTGGCAAGCACTTGGGAGGCAGAGGCAGGCGGATCTTTGTGAGTTCGAGACCAGCCTGGTCTACAAGAGCTAGTTCCAGGACAGGCTCCAAAACCACAGAGAAACCCTGTCTCGAAAAACCAAAAAAAAAAAAAAAAAAAAAAAAAAAAAAAAAAAAAAATCATGCAAGTTTTTTGTTTGTTTTATTTTGTTTTTCTTATTGCATTCCAATGGAGTCTATGATCAAATATAAATACATAAAATAAAAATGGTGGTAAGACAACTTTTTTTAAAAAAAAGCATACACATGATCACATATTTCAAATGTTTCAGAGATTGATACTAGTTGACAGCTATTTAGCAGTATCTTATTCGAGTTCTAGTGTTCTCCAGAAAAGTACAGAATGAGGTCAATACAATAATGATCAGTAACAACAGGAGACACATTTGGGAAGAAAAAGGCCCTACCTAATCCCACAACGGGCTCTAAAATATGGCTCAGGTGGCATCAGGTAGTCCATTCCCTCCCAAGGAGGATGTCTCCAGTGAACACAGATCTGGGAAAGAGCTATGGCTCCCACCAAGACAAGAGCATTTTCCAAAATGAATGCAGAACATAAGGCTGCCATCAAGGAACCCAGGGCAAATGGGAGGTAAAAGCCCACCTAAGGGTGACAGTGCTTAGCAACCTCTACCAGAGTAGGCAAGCTTGAATGGAGAGCAGGGTCTCCCACTCTCAACCTGTGTGTTTGATTATAGAATGAAGGAACAGAGGAGGCACTTCTGGTGAGGACTCTCTGCACATCTGAAAAGCCAATGTTCTGCTTGGAGTATCTTGACACTCCTACCTTACTCAAATAAGGAAGGAATGGGAAAACTCAGAGCTGACTTCAAATGTTGGCTCTATCATTTTGTGAATCAGTTTCTGTTTAAATCTTGGCTGCAATATTTAATGCCCAACCATCTCTTAAACATTTCACTTTCTCTACTTTTAAATTGCACGATTTTATTTAATTGGTTTATTTTTTACATATAAAATTGAATCATAAGAGATTGCCAATACTCTTAACATTATCAATGGTGTTTTCTTCTTTTACTTGAAAAAAATCATACAATATATTCAGATCACACTTCCCTCTCCCAAAACTCCTCTCAGATTCTTCTCAACTCTATTCCCATGCAACTCCATTCCCTTTCCTTCTCTCTCTCTCTTTAGAAAAATAAACAGGCAAACAGTAAATAGACCAAAAATAATCCTCACAAGAAACATACACACACAAACCCCACAAAAGCACAAAATCAGAAACCATAGTATATGAGGGAACCAGTAAGACAAGAAGAAAAAGAAAATCTACAAAAATCCAATAACAATGTTAATCTCATTGCTAACATTTGATTTTATATGGTTCCTTATTCAAATGTCTGGATTGATGATGTTACATTTGATCATGATTGACTTGAACTGTATGAGTCCTCTGAAAACAAGTCATCCCACTGGAGATAAGCCTGTAAATCTAGCAGATGAAATATTTAAGTTCCCAGATATTATAGAACCTGCCCAACATCATTCCACCACATAATAGATCTGGGAGGACCAAGCCATGAACTCCAGACAAGTCAAGTGTTTGCTCCTCAAGAGGAAAAAGCCTGCATGTCGATTCAGTGATTTGGGATGACTTAAAAATGCTACAAAGTTATTTTATTGTTTGGCTAAAATTTCCAAGCATTTATACTATTATATAAATTTGTAAAGTGGAAACTAGCTCATTCAAATATTTGTTTCTCCATAAGACTTTTATTACTTTTCTCTTATATGCAGAGTCATCACTCCAAGTTCAAGGGGGGAAAGGCTAAAGAAGCCCTAACCTCTTCAGTCAAGAAGCAGCAGAAAAGGGCTTATTTCATCTCTAAGGCCATCACTGAGAGAAGTTATGGCAAAAACTCAAGGCAGAAACCTGAAGGCAGGAACTAGAGCCAAGGCTGTTGGAAGATGGCTGCTAACTGACGTACTCTCCATGGTTTGCTCAGCCTGCCTTCGTATACCAACTAGGCCTGCTTGTATGTAGAGTAGCATCACCTACAGTGAGCTGGGCCTTGCACATCAATCACCAGTCAAGAAAATACCCTACAAACCTGTCTGTAGGCAATCTAATCGAGGCATTTTCTCTATCAAGATTCCTCTTCCCAGATAACACAAACTTGTGTTGTCAAAAAAACCTAACCAAGACCATTAGGAATCTCCTTTTGCAGTTTTATACAAAGATGAAAGCCTTTTCTAACTGAAAAGTATTTATGACAGAATCCTTTGGGCTCTGTTCTTCAAAGATTTTTTTTTTGTTTTTTTCCTTTCCTCTTTTTCAGTATTCCAGGATGTGCATGTCATGATATTCGTTGGGTTTGGCTTCCTCATGACCTTCCTGAAGAAGTATGGCTTCAGTGGTGTTGGTTTCAACCTCTTCCTCGCTGCTCTGGGCCTTCAGTGGGGCACGATTGTGCAGGGACTCCTTCATGACAAAGGAAAGAAATTTCACATTGGAATCAAAAAGTGAGTATCTTTGAACACAGATGCTTGTGCCTTCATCTTCAAAGCTCACATTTTGAAATCTTAATTCCTAAATTGGGAAATAATTAAATCTGAAGGCAAAATCTCGTGAGTGGGGTTAGTGCCCCATTCAAATCTGCAATTTATTAGTCTATTTCAATGTGCAATTCGCTCTTAACTCAATTTATTCTTTCTTGCACCCTCAGTATGATAAACGCAGACTTCAGTACAGCCACGGTTCTGATTTCTTTTGGCGCTGTTCTGGGTAAAACAAGCCCCGTCCAAATGATGATCATGACAATTCTAGAAATTGCTGTCTTTGCTGCCAATGAACATCTGGTTACTAGCCTATTTGAGGTAAGGATAAGAAAATATGTATTTACTAAACTCTGACTATCAGGTCTGGCCACCACATGCCATGGATGCCCACTCTACATAAGGGCAAATCTCTACAGGAGTGCTTCCAGACAAAATAGTTAAAAGACAAAAATAACCACTATCCATGGAGTGCTTAGTGTAAAATGGGCCAGGGAGAGTTGTATTTTATTTCCTGTCATCTTTAAAAAATCATAGAAGGAAGGTAGGTGTCATTGTTACTACTATAAATCCACAGTCAAATGGTCACAGGTGCTAACTGATTCATCCATTTGAGTGAATCTGGATTTAAACCACTTTATCCTAACTCTGGCACTCATTTTATTACTAGCAATAACTAATCCCCACTTATATTTAAATGACTATGTAAATAGCACCATATAAAGCCTCCTCTGTGCTCAATTTTTTTTTCTCCATGAAAATGTTACTGATTCTCTCAAAGATAATAAGTAGGCTGTTTCTGACTACACTGGTATGAATTTTCTTTTACTTATACTTGTATTGAATATTTGATTCAAGAGCTAATATATTAACTTTCTAAGTGTTGGTGCTTTGCCAACAAAACAAAATTAGTTAAGGTTTCTGACTTTACAGAGCTTAAAGTATAATGGGTTAGACAAAAATCAAATATTATATATCCACTCTAAACTAATTTATGTTGGTGACAAATTGTCTGAGATAGTTAAGGTAAGAAAGACACCCTTTGATTCACACGCTCAGAGTCATTAGTCCCTTGTCTCCATTGTTTCTGGGCCCAGAAGGAGGCAGATCTTCACATTGGTGGGCTGCACTTGAGTGAAGCAGCTCACTTCCTGGTAGGTGGGGAGCCAGGAGAAAGATGTTGGGGACATTCTCCTCAAGACATGCTCCTTACAGCTTTTACCAAGTCCTAATTGCCCACTCAGTTTTAGACCCTTCAGACAATGACATCCATTCTTCAATAGAAAATCTTTCTTATGATACAATCACTTCCCCAAAACCACATCTCTGAAAGCTACTGCACTGGGGTCCAAGCCTCCCACACATGAGCCTTTAGGAGGCATTGCATGTATAAACATGGCGGAAAATGGGAGTTCTGAGAAAACTATTGAGTATAGAGTAAAAAGCAAGGAAGGGGCTGTCTGCGGAAGTGACAATGACACTAACATATTGAAGTTTCACAGGTCACTAAGGTGGGGACATGTCCTTAATGCCAAAGGAAGCTCAAGAACAGTTCATTGGTAGTCGGGGGGTGGGGAACTTGAGTTGCCGAAGATGAGCATGGTTGTCCAAAAACTGGTGAAGCTACCATAGAAAAATGAGATTAACAGAGGCCCCATAGGCTCTACGAAGTGTTTAAGTTAAGACTGATTTGATGGATTCTGAGAAGGAAATAGAAAGGGTTGTTTTGCTACAAATAAGTGAGTGTTTATAGAGGGACACAGACTTACATAGTGTTTGTAAAGTTCAAATATAATTAATTTTCACCTAATTCTCTCTCCTGAAACCATATGGTAAAGAGAAGTAAGGCTCCTATATGGAAGTGTTCAGCAAAATTGAACATCCTACAGTGATGACTGAACTCAAAACAACGAAGTTGCTCTCTAAGGGCCCAGGATCCCTGTCTAGTCAAAGATGGAGCAAATCAGGAGATTCTTCTACTTGCACCACTTTGAAAATCTGAAATGAATTGGTGATGCTTTCTTACCTTGGTTTGCAATAGGAATTGTTCCTGGCTGAGCATCCTGAATTTTCTCTCTAGAAGCACAAAATTCGGGATACTTTAAATTCATACAGAATCCTAAAAAGGGAACAAAATGCCTCTCCTCAAGTCAGTATTAGAATTCAATTAGTCTTTATGTAGCATATAACAGGATGTAGAACCAAGGGATTGAGTGTCCTTTTAAGGTTCAAGCCTTTGAATTATAGTTAAATGAACTTTAGCTGCGAAGTCAAATAAATGTGAATCATTTTTGTTTCAAGTTGAGTGCAATACATGGTGGTTCACTGAGCCTCTTTCAAACCTGAAATAGCTTAGCATGGACTGCATGCCCAGTAAGGACCTGGTTCTTTCTTTAGGAATGTGGTCTCACCTAAGCACCAACACAATTCTGTTAGGTGGATAATACATCCTGGTTTTATAAAACCTGAATTCATGGATATTTAGTAATGTTTTACCCCCACATCAGAAGTACTTCACCTTTGCATGTCTCAAGAGCTTGTCATATTTTTTTCTTTTTTTACTACCTCATCTGTCTTTTCTTTAACATCTCCCCTAAGCGATTATTTCATGGTCTTTCTGCCTGTAAGGAGACCCATTTTCACCTCCATTCATGCAAATGCTATCTTTCCCTGTAGGCCTCTGACACTGGGGCATCAATGACAATCCATGCTTTTGGAGCCTACTTTGGCTTAGCTGTAGCAGGTGTCTTATATCGGCCTGGCCTCCGATGGGAACATAAAAATGAAGAATCTGTGTACCACTCTGACTTGTTTGCCATGATTGGTGAGTAGAATGAGTTTACCTGATTGCTTGTCTATATCTGAAGATTCTCAGAAGGCCTCTTTTGAACATCGCTTTGTTTAGTGGTGGGTCAGTAATCCCTCTTCTGCCTACTTCTTAAATGATGAAGCCTAAAATCATGGGTATCAATTCCCAGAGCAAATCATGCCCTAATAGGATCTTTCTTGTAATAACTAATACCATTTATGGTTTACAGGAACACTTTTCCTTTGGATATTTTGGCCCAGCTTTAATTCAGCCATTGCTGTAACTGGGGAAAAACAGTACAGGGCCATTATCAATACTTATTTGTCCCTTGCTGCCTGTGTGATCGTAGCCTATGCCTTGTCCAGCCTTGTTGAACGCCGAGGCAGACTGGATATGGTAAGTGTCAATATTAAACTAATGGAAACTCCATTAATGTCAACAGTTTCTCAGATAAGAAAGTCAGTATGCATCAGAGCTGGGCTCCCTGACCAAACTACAAGCAGCAGACTTCAGAGAAATATCTGAAAATATTTTCATTTATTCACTGGTTATCTGTTCCACTTCAAAGTCTAGGAATTTGCAATTTGTAAGGTGTGCAGTCATAAAACTCACACATAAAGGGTTTTTTCTTTTATATTAAAACTGTTCTTAACTCCACAGAAATTTTCCCTCAAAACTTGACTTGTGAAAGAGTAGGGCAGGGGAGTGAGATGGTGGGTGTTGGTTCTATTTTGCCAATTGCAAGGGTTCAAAGATGACAGCTATGCTGTGCAGTCTCTGGTGAATTCCCCTCCCTCTGGACCATGGACCCACACTCTTGCATGTATGAGCAGCATCAACAGTATTCAGTAGACTATCAAAAAAAAGTGAAGTAGAGAGGGGCCATGTTAGGAGAATGATGGAGAGTTCGAAGGGGTAAGAAGAAGATAGGTATTATCTTTCATTGTATACATGTATAAATTTTAAGGAAAAACATTAAGAACAGAAACAATAATCCCAAATAGAACTCTAGAAAACAATGACAATTTGGCTGCTAAAAAATTCAAATAAGATCCTTGGTAGCGCTGAAGTAATGATCATTTTATTTTACTATGTTCGTGTGAGATGTCAGGGAGGGATACACACGAGGGACATCTAAAAAGTCTCTGAAGCAATTTCTGCAAGTTCTTTGTGGTCAAAAAGTAACATAACATCTTTTTCTAAATTCAATCTGGCTTGCCTATTTGGGATTTAGAGAAACTGCTATACAGAGAAAAACAAAAATAAAAGCTCAAATCAAGAACTCTTTTTTTTTCAATGCAGGGCAGAAATGAATGCTTCTCTCTCTCTCTCTCTCTCTCTCTCTCTCTCTCTCTCTCTGTGTGTGTGTGTGTGTGTGTGTGTGTGTGTGATTTATGTATTTTTATTCTTTTATTTTGTGTTTATGGATGTCTTGCCTGCAAGAATATATGTGCACCCCATGCATATAGTGCCCATGGAGGCCAGAAGAGGACATTGGATCCCCTGTAACTGGAGTTACAGACATTCGTTAGTCACTGTGTGGGTTCTGGGAACTGAACCAGGGTCCTCTGGTAGAGCAACCAGTACCCTTAAATACTAACCCATCCCTGAAACCCCCAGAGTGCATATTTAAAGCAAGGTTGAGAACTCACATTTCCATTCTTTACAATTTGTGTCATAAGAGACAACGGAAACACATGTTTAAAAAAAATAATACTCATAGGTTTACTTTTAAAGATGATAGATTATCCAACTCCCTTGGTAGGCCAGGCAGACTGTGGCTTCTGAGAATTCTGGTGAACGGAAATGAGCTCTCTTTCTCCAGCCTCAGACATTTCTGGCTAGATTGTGTCTCAAAAAGAAAAGAAAAGAAAAGAAAAGAAAAGAAAAGAAAAGAAAAGAAGAGAAAAAGAAAAAAGTGTGTGTGTGTGTGTCCGTCCATGAAAATGTCTTTCAAGTAATGGCTAATGCAGCTGTCTACTGGGCACTGTCTGCCTCTAGTCTTTCCGACATTGCCTCATTCCACATCCTCACTCGTGGTCTGTCTCCATTCAGGTTCACATTCAGAATGCCACTCTGGCAGGAGGTGTCGCTGTGGGCACATGTGCAGACATGGAAATCCCCCTCTTTGCTGCTATGGCCATTGGAAGCATTGCTGGGATCATCTCTGTGCTTGGATACAAGTTCCTTAGTGTATGTATGACAGGTGTATTGAACCAAACCTTAAATCTGTATCCCTATCTTTCTTAGGTCCCACCAGTAGGGTCAGTGGGGTTTCCTTCCCTGTAAGCCTTCCACTGGAGGCCACTTGTCTTCCTTTCTGAAATGCCACTCACATTGCAGCCACATTGCAGTGACTCTCCTCTTTCCTGGTGTCTGTGTGGCAGGAGAAGATCTGGTACTAGTCGTTAGTAATTTAGCATGAAGGCAATGTAGTGGATTATGTTAACTACTTTAGAGAAGTTCCAGAGGATGTTTTACTTTTGTTGTTTGTTTATTTGTGTACTTCGTGTGCTGATGAAGCATCTGAGATGTTATTAGAAGATGAGAAAGTGACATAACTTCCTTCCAGTCCAGTCACTAAAGACTGCCTGATTACCAGTGTACTTAAAGCGTTTGACATGGGTGTACTTCAATTTCAAAGGAAAACTGAGCCGTAGAGAAAATTGCCTCTTCTGAGTAGAGGCAGAAATGGAGAGATAAGGAAAGTAGCGGACAGCAGACCTAAAGGATCAACAAACTTTGAAGTCTAACATATGTAAGAACTACCGTTTTTTAATGTACTATGTTTGGAATTCATGCTAGTGAGTAGTTTTTAGCTGCTCATATCAGAAAAATCAAACATTTAAAGAAGGAGTAAATGTGAACATGATGGGGCTGACAATTTGGGTCACTCTAGTAAAATTGTAACCATGCATTTGTAATGTGTAACACTACACTGTTTCGTACGTAAATGGTAAGAACTTATAACTATATTCTTCTACACAGCTGTTTGCTCCACATCCTTATGGAGCTCTGTCTGTCTTACAAGATAATGACCTTCCTTCCTTTTACATTAGCCACTGTTAGCTAACAAACTGATGATCAAAGATACATGTGGAGTCCATAACCTGCACGGCTTACCTGGTGTCTTCGGAGGCCTTGCCAGCATTTTGGCCAAATACTTGGGAATGTCTGCAGTGTGAGTAAAAACCAGTGGGTGTTTCTTGCTCAGGTCCTGTGCTTTGTAACTGTACTTGTGGAAATACACCATGATGGGGATGGGACCCTGTTGGTGGGGTTAACAGTCCAGGCTCAAAGAGACATGAATGCTCTTGATGAATCTTTTCTAGTTGCTTCTTTCACAGACTCACTCCCCTTATGTTTTATAAACTCTATTACCCACCTTCTCAGAGAGTAGCACTCTGCTAGGGATACTACTGCCTTCAAAGTTCATATGCCGTTTGCTTAGGAGTCTTACATGTTTTGAAGGCATCTATCACATTCTTCCACCCTCAACTTATAACTTTATAAAGTTTTATATTTTTATTTACTCTGTGTGTGTATGTGTGGCATGCAGATGCACATGTATGTGCATATAGAAGTCTGAAGGTAGCCTTCAGGAGTCAGTTCTTTCCTTCCTCCATGTGGATCCAGGGATCCAACTCGGGTCATTGGCAGCAAACTTCCTTACACACTGACTCTTTTCCCCAGACCAATGAATGATATTTTATTTCAAAGTAACTGCCTCTGGTATGACAAATGTATTCTTTGATGACTTCATTGTCTTCTCCCTAACATATATGTCATATTTACTTTTTTGGATGTTGTTAATGAACCTTCTGATTTTCCTAAAATTGTTTAATTACATTGGTGAGGAAATGGTATGTTGTGGGACAATGATCTGTATCCTGTCCCTTGTATTTTAATAAAACGCTGATTGGCCAGTACCCAGGCAGGAAGTATAGGCAGAGTGACCAGGCAGGAAGTATAGAAAGGGCAATGAGAATAGAAGATTTCTGGAAAGATGAAAGGTCAGTCTGCAGTCATCATCCAGACACAGAGGAAGCAAGATGAGAATGCCTCGTTAATAAAAGGTACCAAGCCACTTGGCTAACATAGACAGGAATAACAGGCTAATTTAAGATGTAAGAATTAGTTAATAAGAAGCCTGAGCTAATAGGCCAACCAGTTTATGATTAATGTAGACCACTGTGTGTTTCTTTGGGATGAAATGGCTGTGTGTCCAGGCAGCACAAAAACCTTTGTCAACAATGATAGTCACATTGTTTTAGAATGGTCTCACCGAGCCTGTTAGAACAGAGATTCAAGAACTGATGTGCAATTGACAGTGAGTGAGTGAGTGAATCAAGGGTAAATTTTGGGAAAGTGCTAAATTCCTTTAGATGAATGCCTTATTAACCATAACTAATGAATGACAAAGAATATTTTTAAAAGAAAAAGAAAAAAGAAAAACCAATGACTACATATTTGCTTTTCCTAGGTCTACCACAGGTATGCAGGCAGCAGCCCTGGGTTCCTCCATTGGCTCAGCAATTGTTGGCGGTTTGGTTACAGGTCTGCATCAAAAGTAAACATTTAGCTGAGTTCTGTGGTACATGATTGTAACCATGGCTACATGGGAGGTTAACACAGAAGGATTAGGACTTCCAGACCATTGTAAAATTGTATCTCAGAATACTAAGAATAATAACACGTGAATTCTTTTTTTTTAAAGATTTATTTATTTATGTATACAACATCCTGTCCCCATGTATGCATACCAGAAGAGGGCGCCAGGTCTTATTACAGATGGTTGTAAGCCACCATGTGGTTGCTGGGAATTGAACTCAGGACCTCTGGAAGAGCAACCAGTGCTCTTAACCACTGAGCCATCTCTCCAGCCCAACATGTGAATTCTTGCCAGTACCCTATTACTTCATTTACTTTGCAGAGAAATGAATAAGACACAGTTGATTGGTCAATTCCAAACTGTGCTAAAGTTCTGGCAATTAATTACCTTAACTAAAGGAGATGTTTTCTTAACAGTATTTTAACTGCTTAGTAAGCTTTCCCTCTTCATAATATTGTATTCCTTCTACCCTCACAGGTCTAATTCTGAAGTTACCTATCTGGGATCAGCCCCCTGATGAGTACTGCTATGATGATTCTGTTTATTGGAAGGTAATGGACAGGATTCAAAAAGAGAATATAAATCATAGTTCTGTCATGGTTTAGATGACCTAACCTCTTAGCACCAGTCATACAATTACACGATTCCTTCTACTAGCCACAGAAGAGATGCTTCCCATCTGGCCAGCATGGAAATGGGCACAGAATCATCAAGAATTCACTGTGCCTTTTGGTAGCAAAATATCTACTTTTCTGACCTCTATGGGTTCCTGCATGTATATGGTACACATAAACTCATGTGAACACACACATACACACAAAGTACGTATGTAAAAAGTAATATATATTAAAAGATATGATATATTTTAAAGTAGAAACTCAACAAATATAGAATTTAACTAGCAAATACCATTTCAGTTCTGTTATATCAATTTTTTAAAGATATTTTTTGTTGACCAAGATTTCTGTCCCACCCAGTCTCACAGTCATTTAGTCCCAAAGAAACACACAGAGGTTCACATTAATTATAAACTAACTGGCCTATTAACAGAGGCTTCTTATTAATTAATTTTTACATCTTAAATTGGTCTGTTATTTTTGTCTATGTTAGCCACGTGGCTCGGTACCTTTTTTGGTGAGGCAGTCACATCTTGCTTTTTTGCTTCCTCTGTCTCTGGGTCACCAACCGTAGACTGAAATATCCTTCCTCTCAGAATTCTTGTTGTCCCGCCTCTACTTCCTGTCTGGTCACCCACCTATTCTTTTGGCCTGGCTATTGGCCAATCAGTGTTTTATTAAAAATCATACAAGTGACAGGATAAAAGACCATTGTCCCACAGCACTCCTTCCTTTAAAACCAAACCAAAACAAACAAACAAAAAAAGAACTCTGAATTTAATATACTCCAGCGACAGAGGAAGCAAAATAGCAAGATGTGACTGCCTAGCCAAAAAAGGTACCAAGCCACGTGGCTAACATAGACAAAATAATGGGCTAGTATAAGATGTAAAAATTAGTTACTAAAAAGCCTGAACTACTAGGCCATTCAGTTTATTATTATCGTAGGCCTCTGTGTATTTGTTTGGAACTGAATGACTGTGGGACTGGGCAGGACAGAAATCCCAGTCAACAGTTTATAAAAAAAAAATACCAGTCAGTAGCGCAAGGTGTTATATTCAATGTACAAGTAAGAAAAAGCAATTATAATGTTTAAGGCTGAAGGCTGTGAGGAAGCACAGATCCAAAGGTCCTGTGATAGACCAGCCCCACGTTCTGCCTTTTGACTCCACTGCTGCTTTCTCCCTAACCATTTCCTGAATTCCCTGAGGGAGATAGGTGCTTCTACAGACTGTTGGGGAAACTGAGCTTGGGAAACTGGGAAAGCAGTCAAAGTCGGTGGGATAAATTATTTGCTTTCTTATTTTTCTTTAATTCAAATAATTTTTCTTTTCATATTTTCTAAGTTTAGATAGTAGCATTAGTAAACACCTTTGCTTCAGTACTAACTTTAGACAGGCCCGGGGAGGAACCATTCAGTGTCACATTGTTTCTTTTGCTCTCCAAGGTTCCCAAGGTCAGAGAACTTGATCCTCAGTTCTTTCAACATGCGAATCACAATCACCTGGAGCATGAAGTCTAGATATCATTCCTAAACTCTGCGTCCTCAGCATTACCGAGAAGAGCCAAGCTGAAGCAAACAAAAGTATCATATTCCCATACCCAGGGACAGTGGGAGATACATTCCAGGCCCCAAATGGCCAATGTAAAAATGCCTTTATATCTGGTATTATTCCTTGATGTTCAAATGATTTCTCAATTGAAAGAAAATTGCCCGTTAAACAGACTGTCAATTGGGTTCTATTCCAGACTTGAAGAATGACTTTGCAAATGGCTAGAGGCATAGTAAATATTTGATTCTATTCTGGATATTTTGCAAAAGAGATAGATTTACATAGAAACCAACACTCCTTGATCATGTCAGACATCACCCACTTTTTAAGTTAACATGCAAAGTAGTAGTTTTCATCATGGCATCTTTGGACACTTGTATCATTACTTTGTTCTTGTTCATTCCCCTACCTGCTGCAATCCCTTGTAATCCCTTACCTTTCCTAGCTGAGTCCTTCCTTTCCTCAGTTAGATATGGCTTGTTTTATTACATGTATTCCATCACCATCCCTTTAATGTACATACCATGTCTTCAGTTCCAAAAAGTATAAAGTTAGAGTCAATAAAATGACATAGTAAAGAATCTATACTACAAGAATGAAAGAAATCTTTGTAAATAAAAAGTAATATTAATCTTCTAGTTAGTGCCTTTTTAAATCTTAAAAACAGTCAGAGTAATGTTACACTGCTGCTTGCAAATTAATTTCTTTTTATGGTTATTATTTGTAATAAGAGCTTAAAAGCTATCTGTATAAAATTTTGAATAATTAAATATTATTACTAAATAAGGTATTTGTCTCTAGCTCACTTTTATATGATTATTGAAATCCATTTTCATTATAAGCACATATATACATACCTCATACTTAATGCATATTTAATTTAAATATATTACTTATATATTCACTATCAAAATAAAGTGACCTTTACATAGTATAACTTTTAAAACACTGCATTTGGAGATGGTGGCTGACACAATCACATTAAATCATTTTTATAAAAATCAAGCAACATTTTCCCAACATTTTTCTTCTATCCCCCAGTCCCCAAATCTTAACAGGAAGCACCTAGGGTCCAAAGGACTGGGAGCCCTGCCACAATCGATAGTTACAACTTTAAAACTACAGGCAATGATGAATTGCTTAATATTTTATTTCAGGTAAATATTTCTAAATCATAAGAACATTGTGTGTCATGCAGGTGACTTCTTGCACCAGGCTCTCCTTCAAATAGCCTTTTCAAATGTGTCATATAAGCAAAATCTACTGCCCCCTCCTAAGACGGCCTCAAAAAACAAGCATCTTCATTACCCTGGTACTCATGGTTCCTTTACTCTCTATGGATCACAGAGAAAATCACAGAGGGTCTGGAGACACTAAATTATATGAAAGCTGATCTGACTTCTCTGGAAACGTGTTGTGATGGCATCCATGACTGGCTTGTGAACACTTTCATTGACCTTTCTTCAATACAGGTCTTAGAACACTAAAATTTTGTTTGTTTAAACTCTGAGTTAACATCCTCTTGTTTGCAGTAGTGTATTGTCTTTCTTTTGATGGACAGAATATTTTTATTGGGTGAGGAAGGACACTAAAAAAGAAATCCCACACTAGCTCAGAATTGAGTATAATAAAAGGTTATTTATTTAGAGGTAGACTCGCAGATCACAATCCTCTGCTGGAATGGGGAACAACAACTAAAACCTGCTGCCAGAAAAGAGGCTGGACATGCACTTTATATCAGCATACATGGTGTAAGAAGCCACATCCAAGTGGACAGGTAACTTAAAGGCTACTGGTGGTAAGAATTCCTACAGCACCCCCCTTTTGTTTAAATAAGAAAGTTCTAAGATTAATACAAAGTTATATACAATAAGAACAAATATCAGATTTAAAATTTAGAATTACAACCAGCATAAACAATATCAAGCAAGAAACATGTGATACATGTTTCAATAATTATCTTATCCTAAGGAGATTTTTAAGTCTTGTATATAAATAACTTGGACAAGTCATGAGAGGAAAGTAACTACAACTTTCTAGTCTTCAACCCCATCAAAGACCTGAGAAGGGAAATAATATTACTTGAGTAAGCAGGAAGTGCAATCAAGCAACTTCCAAAATGTGCAACAAATGACAGAGACTACTGGCTACCTGGGCAATCACCCAGAGTCTCATTTGCACTATTGGAGCAACCAGTTTTGACTAAGGCCTAGAGTAACTAACATACCATTTTCAGAGGCAGGAAATTTTTCAAAACCATCTTACGCTGTCTTGGCAAGACTTGACAGTCTTTTTTCTTGTATCCTGCTTGTCCTGTCTGGACATCATGCATTTTGTCAATGGTCAATGCATGGGCAGTTCCTTGTCCAAAGGCCAGTTTTGCCAAGAAGAAAGCAAGCTCCAAGTGGTCTTCACATTCTCTTGTGAATAGATCAGTGGTGCCAGGAGCAATCATGTCTCACTTCAATAGAACCCTAAGTTATTTAAATGCCATATTCTACAGCTCTTTGAACTGAAGTTGGCCTATCTATGCAGAATGAAATCTCTATATATCTAAAGAACCTGATTAGTCTAACTATAAGTATGACAAACATGGATGACTATTGACCTATGAATCTTAATAAAGACTAAAACTTCATAATAGAATATTAAACAAACTTTAAACAACTGTGCAACAAATGAGGACAATGATCTCAAAATGTAAACAATGTACAAGTATCTTGATCAGAGGTAGAAATGTATATTGCGATATGATAAATATATCCTAAAATTATACCATAAACAAAATGTCTTAAGCAGAGGTAGAAGCATGCATTCATAGAATATGACAAAATAACTTTGCCTAAATATGCAAATGCTGTAGATAAAAATAGGAACATATTCAATATAATTTAAGCTTGTATCAATATACAAGAATCTATACCGATGTAAATTGCCTATAACTAATAGCTCACAAGTATTCACTCCATTAATCACTATTATTGTTACTGTAAGCTCACACTAATCTATTATCCCACCCAATTCCCCCCCTTTTTTTCAAAGAGATCCCTGAGCTTACATAATTTCCCCCAACCCCCAACCTTATAACAATTATAATCAATCCCTAAATGATGTACCTAACTCTGAGGACAAACTTTATTGGGAGTGGGGACGTCGTCCTCTAGAATTACTTCCAGCTGTCATGAGGGCAATGTTCTTTCTATGGGATCCTGTGAAAATAAAATGATGGTTAAGTTCCAAGATTACTGTCTGGTATAGTTGCAAATAGTCTCTGAATATCCGGTAAGATTTTTCTGAAGTTCTTAGTTGGAGTTCTGGCCAGAACGTTGTAAAAAAAGTGCACCATTTCAGCTAACAAAGGTAGAACCATCTTGACCAGCTGGTACCCAAAACAGGTCTTATAGTAGCACTATCAGCATCATAATGTCATATCAGCCAGGTGAAGTTGTTGTTGTGGAGCCCCATCTTCTTCCTGGAAACTTCAAAGATTACTGCAGGAAAATTCATAGTTCATTGTGGAAAACTTAAATATTATTTAAATAGACATATACTGGCATATATATTCAATGAAATGTATAATAGAGACAAAAATATGTATGAAGAAAAGTAAAATGTTTTCTAAATTCTTTTTTCTTTCTGTCTCATACCAAACGGCTCTTGACATGAGAAAGAAACTCTGAAATTTTCTCTTAACAACATGCTTGGAGGTGCTGGAGAGATGGCTCAGCGGTTAAGAGCATTGCCTGCTCTTCCAAAGGTCCTGAGTTCAATTCCCGGCAACCACATGGTGGCTCACAAACATCTGTAATGGGGTCTGGTGCCCTCTGCTGGCCTCCAGACATACACACAGACAGAATATTGTATACATAATAAATAAATAAATATTTTTAAAAAAAACAACATGCTTGGATTTAGAGAAGGACAGAGCCATGTCCAACACCAAAGCCAACTCTATATATTCATACATAAACACACACACACATATATATATATATATATGTGTGTGTGTGTGTGTGTGTGTGTGTGTGTGTGTGTGTGTATATATATATATATATATATATATATATGTTTAAATTACCTGTCCTAATAAGTCATATTCCTTTTTCTTAATGATCCATATTGGATAGTTATCTTTGCTTCTGTCAGCATCCAGACATCCAGGGTCTCTTGAATTTTGAAGATGTGTATTTTCCTGTAAAGACAAGAGCAGAACCCTGCCCCAACACTATATGGTTTCCTGACCACCTGTATGATTGTCATCATTGTGGATGAGCTGTCATTTCTCTTTCTTAAGAAATTTCTCTTTTTCAGCTAATCTTTATTAATTTTGATGGTATCCATAGTTTTTTCTTCTCCTGTGGAAACAAGAGCAAAACCCCATCCCCTATTCTCCCAGTCTTCTACCTTCCTCATCTTTGTAATATTTATTCCCTTCATCTACCCCAATTATGTCGATTTTTTTGTATATCTAACAAAAATTTATGTGCAGGTGTTCTGGGTGTGTACAAGTGTCTATGTGATATACTAAAAACTTTATTACTTTAAAGATATTTACTTGAAGGAATGTTTTTAACTCAAGTTTGAAGTCTAAACCCTCTCTATTTTAATACTTAAATAACATCACTTTCATGTCAACAAAACAAAACAAAATTCAATATGTCAAATCAATCTGCCAGTTAATGGGTTTGAATGAAATTTCAAGGTATATTTAGTTGATCAGTTTCAGGAAACTTTTGTTATTCTTCATTCTTAACTAAATCTGAAGTGCTGACCCAGTATTATTAGACGCAATTTCAGACAGCTTTGTGAAATTTAAGATATCTTCAGAATTCTCCAGCCCTTATTTCCGCGGCCTTTAAACAGGGTTTTGTATAAGATGAGAAAGAGCTGCTGGTTGGCCTGGGATTGAAAACTTTCTCCAAAGTTCTACTTTGTTCCAAACTATTTTTATTTAGAATAAACTTCAGCC